TCCAAAGTCTCTCCTGATTGTAAAATTATGGTTAAAATTTTCAAAATAATGAAAAGCATTGATCCATCATTATAAGAAAAGGAGAGTCAAAACGAAAATGTAAGGTAAAGATGGAATTTTAGAATACGCGGTGGGATGAGAAGGTTCCCACTAATAAAAGAACTGCATTACTATTTAAGCCTACCTCACAATCCTTATAGCCTTCCCAAAATAAACAATTTTTGTACTTTCATTCTCGGAATAGCGAAAAAAGAAAAAGTATTCTTTTGAAGCGCAAAATTTTTGTATATGAGCGCAATCCTTTCACATTTACATCTCTTCTTACTTTCCTTGTATTTCTTACTTCCCTCTTCCTCTTCTTCCTTCACTTTTCATCTTGGGCCAGAAACATAGGATAATCACCTGTTCTTCAACTAATGCCATATGGTTCTTTCCCCTTTTAAGTACACACATACATACATACACACATATGCATGTACAGACACATACACATACGTAGACAGACACACAGATAGATACATATGTACACACAAACAAGCACATACCTGGTACTTTTTATCGTCCTCTTCAATCATCTAGCTGTTTTAAGGAAGCAACTAAGTGGATATTGCATTAGACTGGGATCTTAAAGTGGACAGGAGCGCTTTCTGATGCATTCATTATTCGTCTTCAATCATGCCTAGTCTCTAGTTCCTGCTCCTGTAGTTTCATTTTGCTGTCCATTAAAAAAAACTAATTTTTCTGACCATGGCACAAAAGTTTTTCTGGCCATGGTAAAAAGATGCTTTTCACCAGGCATACAAGCAGGTTCATTTAGCTGTAGACATGTCTTTCTTAGCTGGCGAAACTTAACGAAAATTCGAAAAAAAGAAATGACAAAATTCGATTTTATCAACCTTCAAAATTTTCCGTCTTTTATTACGCTTATCTTGTTCCTCTTCTCTTTTCTCCTTCTTTTTTACTCAAACATTTTCAGTCATCTCATGTTTTTATTTTTTTTAAAAAAAGAAATTCTGTTTGGTCTTCGTTAACTAGAGAGCATTGGTTAAATGTTATGGTATCATGATAGATGATAGGAAACTCAATCGCAACTGTCATTACTTTCATTTCTCTCTGCTTCATATTTAAATAAAGCACGATCGTCGTCCTGATAAGTTATATATGTCCAAAAAGTAAACAATGCTTTGGAATGAAGTACTGAGAGGCTTCTAGCATTAATTCATAACCCTCACATCTTTAAACTGTTAGGAGATTCAACAAAAAGACGCACTTCATGTAATATAAACCAGAAATAAAGAAAACTACCATAATTAAAGCATATAAACAGCTTTCAAGTTAATGAGAGGGAATGCTTGAAGCCTTTCTTAAATATGTGTTAAGTTCGAGGTTGTTTTTTTCTCTCTAAAAAACAATCCATCCAACTTACATGAAGTATTCATGGAATTCATGGATTTTAAAGAAGGAAACTCTCTCCTATATGATTTCAGATTTATTGTTTGCTGAATAATATTTCATTAAAAGCAGCATGTAAAATTTGTGAATGAGGGTCGTTGTGTTCGAAATGAATTTTCTGACATTTTCAAGTCCAAAACAATTGTCACACAATACCACTTTCTATCGATTCATGGAAGCTTTCAATCATAATAACTGCTATGTCAATCAAAGAATTCCTAAGTCCAACTGTCGCAGTTTCTCCTGAATGCGCGTCACTATTAGATGAAAATTCACTTCGGAATGATTTAGGAAACTTATTTTGCAGGCGCTCCAAGAGCGATTGATCGCCAAGCGATCCTGTGGCTCATTGCATTTTCACTTCTAGTGTGTGTACATATATCTTTTCGGTATTTGTATCTCAAACTTTAAGCTTTATTTTCGTAAAAGAAGAACAGTATCTTAAAGGCCAAACTTCGAAGAGTTACCGTTTCAAAAAACCTGCTTTACAATTTTCATGCAAAAGTAAGTTTTTTATAATTGTTGCTTATGAAATCTTTTATTTTCAAGAAGCTTACTTGTATTGTGGATCGGTTCTATTGCTTAAATTGCAATGCAAAACAAAGTATTGAAATCTAGAAAATTAATTAAAATAATTTAATGAATATAATTTTATAAAGACCTTAAAACTGAAATTGATATAGAGCAGCTAAGCTATTAATTCTATATCACTCTTATCAATGCCAATACCGTTGTTGCAATGTTGCATAATTTTAATGTTTGTTGATTATTGAAATATTTGATAATTATTGCAATTTTTGATCTACCGACAAATTTCCCTTTCCCGTCATATCCGTGCTAACAGAAATTGCGCCCCACGAAAAAAATTATAAGACTTGAAAGAAGTTTCAAGTTAAAATCATTTTTGAATATATCATTACTAACTTTCCGAGAGAATCATTTAAATTGAGTCAATAAAATGTTTTCTAATGGATAATGAAACTTTTCTAATGGATAATTCACTTCCTAATTTTGTTATCCTCTGTGAATACTAAATCATAATCATGAATCCCACACGATGCTAGCACAAGTATTTAGTTTAACGTTTAACAGACAGGTTGATGTAATGATATATTATTATATCAACCTCTACTAGCATTTCAGAAATTTCACTTAAAAACACTGCTTATGATTCTGAAACTTAGAATCGTTAAAAATCAAGCTAGAAATTCTCAGCTTGTAAAACTTTAAATTTTGACAGTCGTAATAAAAACAGCAAATTCTGCGACAAAGTGATTTTTTCATTTTCATAGAAATTTGTATTATAGGGAATGTCATCACATCATCCTTACCCGTCATAGTGGGCAACTTTTAGACCTTCCTGACTTCCTGTATCTTGAATTAACGATGCACGCATAGGGCATCATACCACAATGACTCAGAATATTTGACTGTTTCTTTCGTTACAGAAACTTTTATTCATTTCTGTTACTATTTTTATCTTTTTTCATGGCTATTTTTTGTTTTCTGCTAGAAAAGCTGAACAACTAACGTTATTCAGAATTAACAAATCATCAAATCATCGAATTTTTTTGTTATCAACTCTAGAGATTATTAAAAGCAAATGCTGCTGCTTGAGATTATTTTTTTAAAAACTAATTGTCTTATGAGGGTTTTAAATATTTACAGATTTCTGTTGTCATTACTTTTAACTTATTCATTCTGAGTTTGTTCGAAACTATACTATAGACTTTATTCATGAATTCATTGGAAACGCGACGTTGAGATGATAATTTTTTTGAAAGCTTTCTTAACCTATTAGTGAATTTAGCATTTTCTCATGTATGACACGAATTCGCTATAACTAAAATTGTTGATCAATAAACTTCTTATTTAACTGAAGATCCAGAAGGCTCTTGGATAAATTAATTTTCCAGAGGTCATCGTTTTAATACTAAGGTTATTATTGAATAGAGTTAGGTTATGATCCAGGCACTTTGATTATTAGATCAACTTGACTACACAGTTCTAATGCCATCAGTCATCAGCCTATATTACTACAGTTGTTTGTCATACAACAAAGCATTTATTTACAGAAGTAAACTTTGTTTGTCAAAATATATCATACTAAATTATCAGATCTTTTGCTCAGTACTGTAGTGACTTTAATTTTCGATATTGCACTGGGTGAAGTGGCAACAAGGAATGGCTGTGGTAATCTCAAAAAGCATTGCAGGTGCATTATTTTCTAATTTACATATGATTTGTTGTGCATTTCTATAAATACACATACATACATATGCGTATGTATGTGTGTATGGTGTGTGTCCCTGTCTGTGTATGTATGTGTATGTGCATAGATGTGAATGAATGCTTGCATCTGTGTATGTTAAATGCAAATATGTGATCGTTGTTGTTTTTGTTGAACCCAAACAGATCGACATAACAAATGTGCAAGAAATAATGGTTGCAATCTCTTTAGCCACTACATTGACCTCTGCTAGCTGTTAAGCCTTCTATAGTATTATCAGTTTATCAAGCACAGATAAGCAGTATTACTCGTATTCGTAGTGATATTAATAACGATACGCATAGAAGCAGTATGATTTTAAGAGTTATTTGGAATGAGAAGAAAGGTAGGAGTCCATTCCACTACTAACCATTGTTTATAAGCTTACCTAGCTGGCGCCATTTGTTATGTATGCTATGTGTGTTATGTATAAAATTATGTAATATCGTATATTTGCACAGTAGAAGAGAAGAAGGAGAGAAGGGCTATCTAAAGTGTGATTGAGGCTCTCTTCTCTTGCCTCACCTGGATGAAAACTCTTTCAAATCAAATCTCATTTTTTGCACTTTATTTGAGCATCTCATTTTGAAGTCTTCATCAAAGTAAACTGGTATTAACGTTAAAATCTTAGTGATAAAATTCAAGTAATTCCCACAGAATGAAGGAATTACTTCAGTAGCATCTAATTTCTTCTACTTAGAATTGAGTAAGCTTTGAACCTTGATCAACATTCCCAATTACTTCCTTATATTAAGCGGAGAGACCAAAATTTATTTCAAAATTATTTAGCACAATTTTATGTTTATAAATCCGTAATAAGTGGTGAAATTTCAGACTTATATACAACAAAAACTATATTTTAAATCATGAAAAGCTTGATTTGCTAAAGATTTGATATTATCCGTGAGTAGAATGAGTTTTTCAAGAGGTCCATATGAGGTCAGAAATGACATTGCTTAAAAAAGTCATACTTTATGTTTATAAAAATATAAATCAAATTGAAATCAAAGGGATAGATTAAGAAAAAAAATAAAATTGCTAAATATCATCATATTTAGCATATAAGGCTCTACATATCATGAAGTTGCTTTTCATTTTGAATAATTTCAGAGTATATCGACAAAGAAAAATATTCCGATCGAAATTGCGGCAAAAATGCAGTTGTAATTTGACAGCAGCAGCAGCAGCAATAAACAACAATCGTTAAAAATAAGAACTTAAAAATCTCGGAAATACCAACAGTTCATGTCTCGAAAGTAAACTCAAATTACAACGTTTGTCACCCCTGGCTAATGAATCTCACTTCATCCTCTGCCACTGGTTCATCTTTTTTGTTGATCACAGAAGTACCAAAATCATGTCCTAAAATATTACGCGTACGATTCATATTGTAGAGATTAAATACGAAGGATAAAATGAACCTATAAAGGCCTAAATCGAGTAATTATATTACTTAACTTTATTAAGCCAAAACGATTGGAAATGATTCTGTAAGTATGAAAATACCATAGACTAAGAACAGCTATACTACGTTCGTTATTTAAAAATTTTTAATTTGTTTTATCGGATTGAGAATGATTTCTATCGATTAAACATGATTGACTAACTCACGGTATAATGTATGTTTAGTTTTCTTCAAACTATGATACATGTACTAGTACCTATTCTGGACTTTTGTTTTGCTCGTTCGCTTAATATAATCACTCAGTAAAGCAATAAGGCCAAGTTTAGAAAATAGTTATAAGTCGACTACCATGCATTATATATTACAAGTAAGACAAATAATTAACAACAATTTTGATAATCGATTTGATAGTCATTAAATTTATAGAAATTCGGTCTAAATATCTTTTTATTATTCTTACGGAGACTTTGTAGTGAAGTGGAAACCTCAAGTACTTTCTAGTAGCACTTTGGAACTGAAAGGACGTTGAGCATTTGTTTCTAAGTGCATTAGAACTTTTACTGGTTTGCTAGTTGGATTGCAAAATTAGAGTAAGAACGATTGGCAGTCTTTCTATCCATGGATTCATAAGTATATTAGACTGTGTCATACCAGTAGGACTTTTAGACAGAGCCTCACTGTATTCCCAGGAGGAATCAGCACCACCACCACCCGTAACGACAGCATCCACCTCAGCCATACCAGCAAGTTCCTCATCTGCAGTACTAGCAACAGACTCTTTACCGTCCTCAGGTTCAAAGCACATTAAATGTGCTATCAATTTAACCGCAATCACTAACCAGCAAGCAGTTGCCACTCCTGCCAAGATGTATTCCATACAGCATCAAACTCCTTTGCAGCCCAATGGCACTGCCACGAACGGTAAGTCGATTGCATCAACGACAGTGCTATCTTTTCATAACACTTCATCGAAAAAACAATTCAGAGCCTTTATGATAGCAATTAGCCATTTAATCTTTAAAATAGTTACCAGAAAAAAGATATCGTCGGATGATGCAATGTGAACGTAATACTACGAGGTACTCGAAGCTGGAAATATCTAATTATAAGTACCTAAGCTTTGTGATGAAGTAGAAATGAAACAAGTTCTTGTAGCAAGAAGCCACAGTCGTTCAACGGAAGGTTCCGGATCTGGTGGCTTAACTCCGTCGAATTCATCACAGCAATCCGGTAGCACACAACCAACACAGCAGAATCATCACATGCCACAAATGGGACAATTAGGTGTCGCACTGCAACAAGCAACCGGAATCGAAGCTCCACCAACCAGTTTCACCTTTAACAACTCTGGTTAACAGCTTTATACTTTGATTATTTATACATGATTATTCTTTGCTCCAAACGTGACGAGATATAAATGTACGAGATCTTCGTCTCTGAGATTAGAAAATAGTACAGAGTTAAGAGTAGACAGATATGATACCTTTTTGTATGATAGAGTTTGCACAGTGATTGCGAGTAATGCTAGCTAGTATCAGTGCTAGGATTTCTGTGGATCCTCTACTATGTTTTAACTGTAAAAATCTCGGAAAACTCAAATAACAGAAAGCAGAAATTAAATTACAATGACTTTTTTGTTTATCAGTGCTGAGTACAGTGGAACTACTAGTTTACTGAAAATTGCAGATCTATTTTCGTCGTTTCCAACCAATCACAACTTGCTGCAATATCAGATGAGACCCGAGCTGATGGGATTACCTGGATTTCGAACTGCTAATGGTACATCTGTGAGCACGGTTCGATTTATTTTTATGAGTAAATAATTTTACAGCGTTTACAGCACACGGGAAACTAAAACGATAAGTTAAATTGTACCGAATTTTAAGTAAATGACGCACGCCAATAAGTTAACATTTATCGATGCAGAATGATCGAATTTGAAGGAGCTAGCACTCACTGCATTTGTTATGATACATATTTTAAATTCCTCATCTAAATAATTCATAGCTTGAGAAAAAATTCCTAAACTTTTTCTGCAACTTTTACGAATTTGTAAAACGCATTAAGCCACTGTACTTAATAACAATGTTACAGCAAATGATAATTGTCTTATTACATTGACATCGTAAGATTTAATACCTAATTTGAAGAAGCAATAATCCCTATCGATTACGCAGGTTTAAGAAGCTTTAAAATGGTCATACATCAGCAACAATGAAACATGGATTTTTTTTAACCGTTATCGATTTAAAAAGTACTGTTAGGATAGAAGTCATCAGTAGGTGACTCATTGAAGCTCTTCAGTCTGCAGTGAGATTCAGGAATTAATAAAAAGAAATTCATGTCAGGACAAAGGATTCGATAATTTTGAAAATCAGTCAAAAGTGACATCATTTTCCTATTAAGTCCGTTTAAATACCGATTTTGAATTCATAAGAAAACTATTTCTTTCAACACCACTAATATAATATAAATAGAATATGCAGAAGGACTATTTTTCTATTCTGATCTTTCCGGAAATCTGATGCTGAGTGGAAGAATGAAGGGTGTAATGAAGTAATCGATTATGAGAATGGAGTGAGGGATTTCAATGAAGGGAATGTCAAGTCAACTTATTTGAGAGAGAGGGGATAACGGGAATAAGCAAAAGATGGAAGACAGGAAGGAATATGACAGTGTGACAATAACTGTTTCGGAGGAACTGTCGATGCTATCAAACCAGAAGAGAACACCAACGCGGCTGCATCTATGTACCGCAACGTATCTCATCTATTTGTACGTATTTTGTCTATTTGTGTCTGGGTGGGTATGTGTGTGTGTGTGTGTGTCTGGGTGTGTGCGTGCATGCATACTTGCACCACCTCGTGCCACTTTTACGAACAATTTGAAAATAAGTGAAGATTTAAAAAAGATGGAGTAAAAGAGAGTGGTACTCATTGTTTAACAAATGCACCTCTTCCTCTTTCACTCTCTCCGCTTTCTTCCTGTCTCTCTCTCCCCTGTCCCCTTAAGGGTTTCCCGAGAAAAAATCCAACCACACAATATGGGTCCATCGAATATGGCACCTTGCCAAGATGCACTTGTCAACCTGCTGACTGGTACTGATGTTGTGGATGGCAGTGATCAGATGGATCTATCTTCCCTCAGCCTTTGAATTTTTTCGAAATTTTTTTGCGACATAATGCAACATATCTTCTTAGAAGGCTCGGATCTCTTCTCTGCCCTTTACTCGTCGATTACACATTACCGCATAGCTGTCACTCACTTCTGGTGCTTTTTTCCTCCCTCTGTCTCTCTTCCCGAAAACGTCAACAGCCACTTATTCAACAACGGCCGAATGATCAGTTCAAACTTCCTTCCTACATCGAAGCATTTCTTTTTTCAATCTGGAAATATCCTCGTCTTCACTTGTTTTTAAACTTTCTTCCAACTTTTTTTGCATTTCTTCTTTTGTGCAATTGAATTTTTCCTGAAACTTCCCTTTCAGTGGCACATACTCCTTCTTTTCTTTTCGATTTCTTCATGTTTGAACTTCTGAAAAGCACGCGCCATCTCCAGGATGAGTGGTCTCGAAGCAACTACTATATTACATCCAGACCATTACTCTACAAGAATCCTGTAAAAATGACCTAAAGTTATAGAAATGATGATGCCGATTATGCATATATAAAAATTAACTTCTTCAAAATGTCGGTCGTTTGAAATGCAAGTGGTTGGTTATGTTGCTAAGTGTGAATGCATCTTTTTGTTCCCGTGGTTGTTGCTGTGAGCATCTTTAGTTTCAGTATTGTATGCAAATGAAAAGTACGAGAGATTCTTTATAAAATGCTACAAATGCTAATAAGAAGCATCTCTGTGAGAACAACTGTTGCGGACTTCAAAGATTAACAAAAGTTGAAAAAGTGCGAAAGATAAGAGCAAAAAAGTGATGAAAGGCGATGTTGATGACGGAGATACAAATGAATAAGTGACTTGGATGAGCATGTTAACGTAAACAGGTGAATTAAACAAATGTCTCTATCTGGCCTTGATCATTCAAGACAGAAATAGAGAATTCCCGAGACTAGTGATGACAAAAAACATCGATCTGAACGATTTACCCAATCATCACGGAAGGGTTTTTCAAAGAATGAATGAAGAGAAAAAAACAACCAAATGTCTCAAAATAAAAAAAAATTACAAAACGGAAGAGGTTAGTGGGAAACTTTCCTAATTATCACTTTTTGCTTTTCTTATTCTTTGATATGTTTTGATTGTATCAAAGTGAATAATTGGCTCAAGTTTCCCAATGAATTTTGCAGGCAACCAGCATCAGTTCTTAAAACTGTCAATTTTTTATTTTACTCTAAAAAAAATTAATGCAATGAGTAAGCAAACAAAAGGCAGTGCTTCTTTAAGTTTTCAGTGTCTCTTTTCCGTTGATTTGATTACTCGCTGAAGCAATGCCCCCACCTTTCATAGTTTACGCCTCAAATCTCTTACAAAGCGGGTTTGCCCGAGGATAGTAAAAGTGCTGATATTTTGTTTCAATAAGTGCAATTTTCCTTTTCACTTCCTCGAATTTAAATTTGATTCAAACTTTTTAAAACTAAAATTTAACGAAAGAATTCTATGCTTTCTAATTAATTTCATATGAACACAGGAAATGTCTGTACATCCGAACAATACTTCTTTTGTTGTTGAGGTAATTGCGCTTCACATCAAGTCAAACATCATTCCTTCAATAAAGAGTTACGGTGCCAGTTCTTTATTTTAAGTGGCGGCACGCTAGCTAAGTTCCCGGATGGAAATATTTCATTTTTATTCTTTCGGAATTATAAGAAGAGAATCTCATCTTACGAATGTAGTATGTTAAGGGAATTGTGATGCTAGTTCTTTCAGGATGTTGTCTGCTCCACTTTTATTACACTGTTTCTTGATACAGCAGTCAATTCACTCAACTAACGAAATGAAATTTAATAAGTCAGGAAGGCATAAAGAGGAAGTTCAGCTGTACTTGCCAGACAACAGACTAGGAGAAATGGTGAATAATTTCAGAAAATCATTTAACAAGTTTTGCGTTTGCTTGGATAAAATGATTACATATGAAAGAAGCAGTCATTATTCCTTTTATGTGCAGTAAGTAAAGTGTTTAAAAAAGTGCAAATGTCCTGAAAACAGGGAGAGGATGAGAGTGTATTTCAGATTATTTCAACTTCTAGAATGTCCATCGCATTGCCAGTTCCAGTGAATGCAAAAGTAAAAATCTCATTACCACCTGCACATGAATTAAGTGTGACGATTCTTTTAAAATATGAAAGTCTAAAAGTTTGGTCTTTTAGGTGCTGGAATTCATCAATTTAATTTCGGAGGCGTCGATACTATAGCCGAAGTTGAACATTTTTAAGTTAGATAACATTCAATGCTTCATGATAATGAAGCGCCAAGAGAAGAGCTTTCTTTAGTTTCCATGCTTTATCCTTTCTCGATACTTTCATATCCTATAGTTTAGGTTCTGTTAATAATTACAGTCTCATTTCGTTCCCTTTCATCTATGAGTCGCTAATGAAGACTGTAAATTACAGTAACGGTTTAAAATTTTAGGGCGCTCTCACCTGCCGCGCATCAAAAAAGGGTTGTTTAATGAGCAATCAGAAGAAAGAAGTAGAGAAAAAAGTTGTGGAGACGATGAGCGCAACAATTTTTCATTCTTATCACTATTCAAAATGTTTCATTTCCTTCTCTCAGCATTTAGTGACATTTTTTAATCAGTACTTGTCATTCTGAACATATAATACATTTCTTTCGTGCATGTCTGTCCATAGAAATCTTCGCGAGTCGTTTATCTAAGTAAAACTTTTTAGATACAAACATCTTCCTGTAAATTGTTATAACAAAAATTTTTGTAGTTATCCTACTTTTAGTTTTATTAAAAGAGCTCGGAAAACTGGTTCGTTTTTGTCGCGATGTCTTTGTCAGTTCATTGCTATCCTTTACACACTTTTTTTTTTTTTTTAAAAAAAATGGCTAAACATTCATATCTAGAAAAAATTTATTGTTGAAATTCATTCTTTCTGCACAATAATAGTGATTTCTTTGTTTTAGATCATAATTCCATCCAATATTTTCGGAGGGTTTTTTTGAAATGCGGAAAATTTGCAGATGTAGATGTAAAATGACGGTATTTGTCTTGCATTTTAGAGAGAAGCGTTGAGAGAAGAAGGCGGAAGATTTTACAATTTCTCGAATTTTCTTAGTTAACCACTACTATAAAAGTAGAAATGGTCAGCTAATTTTACATAAAACATTATTCTAAATCCAAAAATTTTCATTAAACTCGCAACTAATTGAATTTTATCTAATAGTTCTAACCGTTTGCCTATTACAGTCATTGAAATGTCACTAAAATAAATACTTCTGAATTTTTGTACCAAAACAATGTCACATTACAAGAATTCAGAAATTAGAAGCAGATTTTCTTCAAGTTTTAACTTCAATTTTTCTAGCTTTTTTTTGAGATTTAGCTGGAAAAATGAGTATTATTTAATCACCAGATAATGTTTTATTAGTGTTGAAGCACTCAGTAAATTTAGTAAACCGCTACTACCACGATTAACTCGCATATTCTGGATACTGAAATTAAGCACATTTTCTTTGTTGACCTGAAATAAATTTCGAGAGTCATGAAATTCTGATGGCATTGAGAAGACATTGAGAAGAGCATATGTGTGACGGTAGTTTTTATAGGAAACATAATTGGAAATTAGTATCCCTTTGCTGCTTCTGACTCAGTTTATTGTCATCTTCCTCCCACCCTCTGCGGTCTATCATATGATTCACTTTTGGACCATTGCCGGGATGATACTGCTGTGTCTCAAATGGTCGTTGGTTGCTTTATTCTAAGAGGAAAATCTCTATTCCTACATTTATCCACCACTATTATTATCATTATTATTATTATCGTTGTTTTGGTCAACAGAAACACGTCATTTTTATTGAGCAGCTGTATCACTTGCTGTATCGCTTCTTTTTATTATAATTAAGAGCACAATGACGAGGAAATAGCACTACTAATACTATTTTCATTATTATTATTACTATTATTATTAATATTATCTTCAACAACTGCTTCTTCAACTGCCCGGCAAATCATTAGATATCGAACTGCGTGCATGATTTAGCCATTGGTCCTTTGCTAATGACTAATGAAGCAGAACGGGACCAGAAGCAAATTTTTCACTGTAGCGTTACCTACAACAATGATAAGCTTGTATCGTCTACACTGCGCACTGTCCCATATTTTAACAGCCTACTTCTGCGTCTATTAGTAATGAATATCTTTGAAGGTAAGCACTTATTATCTGCCTGTTGAAAATTTTAATCAAATACAGAATGCATTTCGAAAAAAATTTCTTTTCGAAGTTTGGAAAACAAAGAGCTTTTATCGATCGTTTCCATTCGTTCATCATATAGTTGCATATGTGGAGAGAGGTAAGCACAGCATTTCAACCCTTAAGCTATTCTATTTTGATATTTTCTGACCATTCGCTTTGCTCATTTGTGTCAATTGACATCAAAAGAAATTAGAAATGCCTAATTTAAGTAAAAGCTGACTATAAAATCAAATCTGATAAAACAGTCTGCATTAGCAGAACATTAGGGAATTTATACCTTTGAAAAGATCTGATCTTGTAAAATTAAGTAGGGTCGAGTAGTAATTCTTCTTAGCTATCAAATTGATAATTATGACAGAGGATTACTCGTCCCACCATTGTACTGAGAATGAATAAAATTTTAATCTAGGTAGAATGAATAATTCTCTTAATATTACTTTGGATTTTATATTGCCATTTAAACGAGTTTAATAAACTCGTTCTTCCTATTTAAATCAACCTTGACAGAAAATTCACCCGATTAGAGAAATACGCAATGTGCATTAGCCAAACTAACCACTTTTTTGATATTGTAGGCATTTCTAAATTGGTGTCATGAGTGCTATTTTTTCTTCTTAATAATGTCTTTTTTTATTAATTAATGTATTTTACAAAATATTTTAAAAATGCCATTCTAACGATATGCATATGGTTTACGACTTTAAGGATATCAAAATTATTTTAACTCCTTTTTTTTTGTCACTTTTTTCTTTAAGCAATTATTACGTAAGATTTAATTTGAAATCTTTTCCCTTCAATTGAAAAAGAAGATAAGAAGGAAGGAAAAAGAATGATTTGAATGAAAAGTTTTTTTTTCGTTCTTTTTCCTTCTGAACAAGTTCAGATGAAATTTTCGATATATTACAAAATTTGCTCTCTTCATCCCTGCTTCTTTTTCTTCTCACATTTTGCTAACCAATTTTTCGGTACTTTTTCCTACTTACAATTTGTTAAATCACTGATTTTCTTTTGAAACAATTTGTTAATTGAAAAAATAAATTTGCCTATTTTGGAGTCTATTTCTCAGATAGAAACTTTCAAAATATTACGAAAAAAAATTGAATAAAAGTCTAATGAGCAGCTAGATGTCGCACATTAAAAGCTTAACCAATTTCTGCCACTCAGATAAAAATTGTAAAATTCATCGCCATCTGCACTACCTCATATACTATCACCTTAAGTGGCACAACTCTCAAATCTTTTATCAGTTAGTGATATATATATATATATATATATCTCTTTGTTCTGCTCGTTGCATGATAATTGTGCGATCAATGAAAATATTTTATCGTCTGATTTGCCCTTGAAATTAGGATACCGTATTCAAACGGATAGTTACGTATATTTAATATATGTTGTTTACTATGCGTGATGTAGAGAATGCAGGGGCACTGGCTAAACACCAATTGCCTTTCCGTTGCATTAGGCGGCAATGCTAGCATTACAGTCTTCCGGTTAGACAGTCTACCATAGTTTTAATTAATCTCGAAATAATTCCTTTCCGTTCATTTTTACTTTTCTTTTGGGGTTAGTTTAGTTTGTATGCAATATAATTGACATTAATGAGTAATATGTGTTGTGGAAATAGCTTAGGACTGCTAAATAACTGCAGCTTTTAGATGCATGCATAAATTATTTGTAATTTTGTTGTTTTCAAGATTTAAGCAAATTTTCTAATTAAAATTGATAATATATCTGCATTGTGTTGCACTGCTATTTGCAATGCAATTCATAATTCTATAGGAAGCGAACTTTTTCTGTTAGTAATGAGATTTTTCCGCTGTTTAATACGACCTTATGCAAACATTCACTACTGATAAGAAAAGGAGACATTTGAGAACATTTTCAAATATTGGACGAGAAATGAAATGAAGCGAACATTAAAATGAAAATGAAAAAAGATGAAAAACTTACTTTTAGGAGAATTATATGAATTGGAAAATTTGTGCGATGCGATTTTTTTCAATTTTTCCTGTATATTTTTTCTAGTTTAAAATGCTAACTTATACAATAAGAAAGCGAATGAAAATGCTTAACTCAAATGAGAAATATTATTGATGAAATTATTGATTAAATGAAAAGTGGCACAAAATTTACAATATATTTTATCAATTTCAAATGTTATGTTGCAAATCTAAATGACAGGATTTCTAAATTTAAGAATAAAAGAGCGTACATAGTTCGTTGTAGAAAGAAAAAATTAAAGTATTTTCAGTCCCTCTATTTCTGAATTGAACTATAAAATATATGGAAGTCGGATAAGCAAATAAGTGATGGCTTTGTTGGTTGCATTTTCATCAATGTGCTCTTGGCTTGTATTAGTTATCCTGAAAGCGATTTTAATGTTACTGAAGTATAGGAATTGATGAACAAGTTATTTGCCATAATGGAGTAGTGGTAAATTCAATTTCTTTTCATGTTTCAAATAAAATCATTGATTAATATAATTCCACTTTGACTCCTTCATCTTAAAAAATACTCCGACAATTTCTAACTCATATTATTTCATTTCTTGTTAATTTTCTACCCGTAATATTTATCAATTTCTTCGTCATTTAATCAAACTAAAAATATTGACACCTTCTTTGCTTCTTCCTTAACAAAACTAAAATATAAAATTCATATCAGTGAGTTAAGCACGAACGATGATCAGCAGGGAAGTAAATTAGAAGATGCATTTAATGATTAATTATTCGTCAGCTTATCCATCTCAATATGATGCAAAAAGTAAAAATAAATATGGATAAAGCGTTTTACGCGCAATGGAACTAAGCAGTACGTTTAACTAAGGATAGATCGTTTTATATAATTCTTATCTTTATAGAAATGTCTCTATGAGTTGTTTTGTAAATATACTTATAGTCGGTGCAGTGTTACTTCTTGTAGACTCAAAAAGCGAACTATTTATTCAAACATTTTCTCCCTTCTAAATTCAAAATTTATTATTTAGAAGTATTGAAGTAAGCACAGAGGAAGTTCTGCTATTTTGAATTTTCTTTATTTACTGAATGGACCTGAACTGCTATGAAATATGCTAAGGATAAGCGAATTTATCATGACTCTTTCTAGTATTGCATTGCAACGTTTATTTCATTCTGTAAAGTAGGGTGAATGGGTTTTAACAGGAAAACATTTGAAATAAAACACCGATCCAAAGTTACTTTGATCTAAAGAAGTGAAGTGAAATTATTAAAATTAGCAACTGACCACTTATCATTTCAACATGTCTGTTCATCATTAAATGAAACCATTTCTGATCAAAGACAACTTTCCTGAATATTGCTTTGTGTTTCTGTCTAAAGGCTAAACTAACTGAATGAGTGCTGCAATAATAATATGGTGACGGCATTGAAGCCTTCCCGGATAAGTCTCTTCCTGCAGCTACCACAGAGAAATGTCTATCGAACATAAGCACATATACATGCACAGACAATCTCGACTGCTTATACACAGACATGAGACAACGAACGACAGCGATGGTGACAACCGACATGGTTCTGTTCATTTTCTGCCTGTCTGTGTAAATAGGTGAGTACATGTAAGTACGCATATGTGTGTTTGTATGGGTGTATATATATATATGGTGTGTGTGTGTATGTATGTATGTGTATGGGTGTAAGTGCATAGCTTTCAGCTGATGTAACCGATTGGACGGGCTGTCGGGGAAAGCAATGAGTTGTTTAGCTCCATCGATCAGGTTGCACTCTTCGCAGATGTATTTTTCGGGCAGCACCACATTTAAACCGGCAAAGCTGCTTTTTATACATTTCGAAACTTTTCCCTTTGCAATCACTCAATTAATTCCTTCTCTGTTTGCTTTCTTCATGCTTTTATACATATGCTTACGTGAAATTATCATCTTTCTCCATAGAAATCACGTGAGACAGCTGGGCCCTGTGAACTTGTAGATAGTTGTCAATACCTTATGTTGTATAATTTTGAGTGTGAGTTTAACAATTCAGATACGCAATTTAGACTGGTGAAATTCTGCTACGGAAACTAAGATTATGTTTTTTATTTTCACGTGCCAAATGCATTCACGTATCTCAAACGATTGCTGGACGAAGAAACACAATCGACTATACATATCTTCATACTTGTTTTTAAACTTTCCTTCTTTATTATACTAATAAACATCTTTGGATTTATCAACTGATCTAAATTCATCACAACCACATGCAGTCTTTTCGTAGTTACAAAAGTGAACTGATAATTAATATGCAATAGTGATATTTGAAATACCATTCATTAATGCACATGAATCATTGTTCAAATAGTTTTAAAATAGTGTAGACCATTTTGCTTTAAAACTGCAATATTTATACAATAAACGAAGAAGCAACTTCATAGCGAGAGTAGTCGTCGCCGGAACAGAAAAGTTTGTGCAAAAAAATCCTGAAATTATTTCAGGAAACCGTTAAATAGTGCTTTATATGAATGAAATAAAATATTTTGGATTGTAGCAACGTGTTAAAAAAGTTAAAAAATTTAGTTGAGAAGAGTAAAATGAGCGATACCAGCTATTCATGTAAGAGAAAAGTAATGATAATAACAAACTGTCACGTGTCTTCACGTGCGTAACATTTCATACAGTTAATTGATTGAATGAAGTTATTCATTATTATTCGTTAATTCATTTCTTCTGTTAGACAAATTGCAATAACAGAATCTGTTGCTGATCATGAATAAACTTTAGAGGGAATACAAGTTTTATGATCGAAAGATCGTCATGTTGCCTTAGCCTTTCCTTCATCCACAACTTTATCAATGCAGTGATAAAAGGGAGATTTATCTAGGATTAGAAACTAACATTTAACATAGTGAGAAATTAACTATTCGCATACTTCTGACTGCAGTAGTAAGTTTGTTCTGTCTGAAGGAAAATTTTTTTTGTTGAAATATGTTGTCGTCTATAACAATTTTTTAGAACTGATTTGGTTATTTTCTTTCATCGAGAAAATGTTCCATTTAAGATGATCAGCAGATGAATGTTCTATTTAGAGAGTGTTCATTCATACTGATATTTTTTCCTAATATTTATTATTTCGTTTACGCTTTAGAATATTTATCTTTCTGCATTCATTTTCTTCCTGAACTGTTATTCATCAATTCATTCCATACATGATTTTCAATTTTGAAGTAAACCTAAATATTTTTATTTTCGACTGGAAGACAATTGCGCGATTATTTCTTTTTTTTTATCAATCAATAACACTTTCCATTAAGAAATCTTTCATCTGTTTCTTTCAAAAACTTATAAATTTCCTTTAAAATTCCCGAGTTTCAAAACAGAATTTGTATGTCCTATATTAAGAATCTAAAAGTCAAATTTTTAAGTCTCAAGAAAAGTGATTTTGTTTTGAAGTTCATTGCTGATTACGGTATTCCTCATGTATCATGTATTGTCACTCGAAAAGGTGTTGTTTGCAAAGAATAGCTCCTGCAAGACTGATGTTCAAAGAGTACTATACAATTGCACCTTTTACGTTACCGTAAATTGATCCTGTAAGTCCAAGAAATTATTTTTTGCTTGCTTAACAGCAATCTTCATTAAATTTTAAGAAGTCATCGGCTATGCGTAGCATTCTATGTTTCGTGTCACAATTAAAAACAGCTTCTGAGATACGGTTAATATTTCTAGATAAAAGTGGTGCAAGGGGGTCATCTTATAGTTAGTTTAGTTTTTGTTTCAGTTGCTTTCTAACTATCACCTCACTTCTTATTAATCAGCAATTCCTAAAAGTTTTCAGTTTTTTATGACTTCACTGTGATTCGTTTGTCTGTGATTCCAAGTTCGTTTCTTTTCTCACTGAAAAATTTTCCGTTTCTAAATTTATCGGTTTTTGTAGCGCTGACGCTATTGCAACAGCTGATACTATCGCTAATGACAATGACGGCGCAATCAGTGCATTCTTTGCTGCATTTATACTAATACGTAATTAAACTAATATTAGTAATAATATGCAGTGCTTTTGTATTTTATTTGCAACTTATTTATTTCTTTATTTTGTGTCATTGCCAAGAGAATGAGAAAAAAGTGAATCGGAAGTTCCGCTTTTTTAAGAGAAAAAATAAAAATTGAAAGTAAAAATTGTTTTTTTGAATGAAAATTCCTCTAATTTCACTGCTTTGAAACAATTGCATCATTCTAATTTTTTCTCCAATGATGGTCCAAAATAATTACTGATTTTATTGAGAGAAGTCAGATTTGTTCTTGAGTAAATAAAATTCGCTACTTCATATCCGCTTCTTTATCATTTCAATTCTTCCCTTCCAAGAAATATAGAGAATTCAATCCATTTCTCCAAAATCTTTGAATCCTCATCTTCATGTGAGTGTTAAACAGCTAATTTGGAGATAGATGTCAATGTGAATTGGTGCAAGCTCAACAATTGTCAGCTATTAGCAGTATATCTTTCTTCATTTTTTATGGAATGATTTACGAAATGATCATGCTAGAAGCTTTCGGATTGGAAGCAAGCATACAACGTGTTATGACGTGTAACACGTGTGACGAATTGCACACCAGGTCTGAACTTAGTTAACGTATTTCTCAGTATTGATATTAATAGTGTCATATAGTGATCTACGACAGAGAGAAGAGGAAAGTATCTTTGATTTTTTAGAGAAATGAAAAAAGTGTTCGCAGGAACTTTTTTTTTTCATCAATACAAAGAATGTAAAGGAATTAATGATTTGATGTTAATCACAGCTATAAGAAGGAGAGAAGGAGGAGAAAGAGCGAGAGAGAGAAATGGTACTTTTCAGAAATGAAGCTGATTGGAGCAGAAAGATCTTCCTTCCGAAGTTAGACGGAAAGAGTTATGTGAAGTTCAGCTTGCTGTTGCTTCAGATGATAGTTTATCATTTGTATCTCAGTGTTTAATTATAAGTTAGTGTGGTGGCTTGAATGCATGCATGTTGATACAGATAGACAGATCGACCTGAATCATTTTGGTAATGTACTGAGCAAAATTCGTTTGCTTCACATTGAACTGGAATGAAGCTCGGTGATAGTGGTGGTGATACTGTTGGTAAGGGTGATGGCGGTGTTGGTAATGATGATGACGGTAGCGCACTGACTGGTCATTACAGTGTAAAAAGGTGGCAAAGAAGAAAGAAAAACCGGGTCCATTGGGCCGATCCATCTTTTTCATCATTTTCTCTCCCGCTAGTCCCGCCTTTTACCCCATTTCTTTCCTAATTAGCTTTGCCCCTTGCCTATCCATTTTCTCTGATTCCTTAGTTTTCTTTTCGGAAAAAAGGAAATTTTACAGAGAGTTGAAGTGATTCTTTCGTTGTTTGTACAACAGTGGGGACCCAACCAAAAGATGCCAGTAGGCAGGTTTTCTGTACTCTTTTCTCTGAACCTTTATCGTTGTATCACTTAGAATGTGCCCTTCACTTTTCGATACATTTGGAGAGTCATCATTTCTTGTTTCTTCACTATTTAAATTTTTTTGAGAATACCCTTCTTGGGGAAGACTTTAATGTAGAAAATAATAATGTATATGCCTAGGACATATTCCACTTCTCAGGACAGATCAAATGCACTGTCTGCTGATCGCGCTTGATCATATTCCTTATCACATACTGACTGATGTGACCAGTAAGGTGAGATTTTTATTTGCACAAAAGATTATTGTGCAAGACGTTTCAATCATACGCCAAATACTCTCCAGTATTATTTGTGCTACGAAACATTTATAAACGTGACATTCGACTTACTTATCAGTTAGAGAAATGCAAGTTAAATAGAAAAAGTGAGTGTGATACGTAAAAGCTAATATGAGAAAGTTTCAATGTTCCCAGAATGAAAACAGTTTCAAAAACTATGAGTACTGACTCGAATTAACTGACTAATTAACAAATTTCATTATAAGAGATTACATTAATGCAGAGAATTCCACTCGTTATGTTTATAAAACCTTTTTTTCTCATTCAGTTTATCAGTTAATTCTAAACATATCGAGTAATCTCTTTTATGATCTTGATTTTCCTGCTAATGTCTGGGCTACGTAACAAAAATTGCAGGGAAGAAAACATCGAAGACTTCACATACAAAAAAGGTAATGCTGACAATAAAAAAGCTTAAAATTTATTATGTTGATTAAACTATTGTGATAAAAGTTAGTTAATTGCGACTCAAAGTGCTTTTACTGTTCACAGAATTGTTTTTATTTTATTTACATATCTTACATTTAGGCTTTATCATTTTAATCTTCAAGTGCAAATTCACTTTTTCCTTTCATGCTACTCTTAGTCTGTCTCTCCTGGTTTTCTTTAAAATTAAATCTGATAAGTCGAGTCAGGCATTATGAATCTGAACGATCAGTTGTATAAATAGTGATTATAGTCATTCTGGAAAATTTGTACATAGTAAAAACACATCGCCTGGTAAACATCTTGAAAAGCTTTATGGGAATGCAAAATTAAACAAAAACTAGAGAAAAACTCAAGACTAATTTCAGAGAATTACTGGAGAATCAAAAATAGACTAAAGAT